AGGGGCCCCCAAAACTTGGGGACCCTGTGCGTCGGCCCGGAAAAGACTTGTCTAGGGCCGGCCCTGAGTTTAATATATCCATTATAAGTTTTTCATGCACAAGTATATTTGTAACGATTGTATGTTCAAAGATTATAATGACAGTATAGTAATGAAACAAACTGCCTAAGCAAAATAAATGCATTACTATTTATACAAGTTCACACACACACACACACACACCTATATATATATATATTTTGGTGTCAACCACACATTGTGGTCCGAGTCTTTCTCTGTCCGTTTAACGGTCCAGGTCCACCCGGTTCGCTCCAAGAGACACAGAAACTAACCTAAAGGAGATCGTCACTTGTGGGAATCGAAACCGGGTTATCCCAGAATCCACCTACTATAACCTATATATATATATATATATATATATATATATATATATATATATATATATATATATATATATATATATATATATATATATATATCTTTAATCATTTTTTGGTATAATCAGAACCATTATTTAATTGTCACATGCATTAATTTGGCAAATTATGTTGTGCATCCGTATGCACAATGCATGGTGCATACAGGTGCAAAAACGACGTCGTTTTATTAAAAATATGTGTTTCACTTTTTTAAAAAAATCAGTTTCGATTCGTAGAAACAACATTATATTGTGCACCATTTGAACTATATATTAGTCCTAAATGATTTTTTATGCTCAATTTAGTCCTCGATTTAGATGATTTTACACAATTTTTAGTCCTTTGCTAAAAAATATGTTAGTTGACTGTTAGAAGTATTATCATTTATTTAAATAAAAATTAAAAATAAAAATATAAAATATAAAATATAACCTACAATATAGTTGGACTTCTTACATAAGATTGATCCACAACTTTCAAACTTTGCAATTTCAGTCCACAACTATTGTTTTTGTTGCAAAAATGGTCCTTCCGGCTGATTTTCTGTCAATTTCTCATCGGAGAAAAAAATTCTACATTTCAAGTAGGGATAAAATAGATATTTTCATTGACCTTGCAATCTCGAACTACTATTGACCTCTTATTCTCTCCAAAGTGCGAAAAAATTAATCCAAAAAAAAAAAAAAAAAAACCTCAATAGCCAGAGACGAACCCTAATCTGCTCTCATCTCATCAACCCATCTGCGAATAAGAGGAAATATAGACACAAATATTTTACAAATTAAAAATTTTGAACATTGAAAACTTACAAAATTGCAACGAATCACTCCTCAACCAACGTGTAGGGGCGGATTCAGCATGGGGGCAGCTGCCCCTACTCACCCTACTCCCAGCCCATATATAACTCTTGTATGCATTATACAGTACATGTTTTGCATATAGATATTCGAAAACTGATGAAGATAAAGAAAAAATAAGTTAGATGAGTTGACAAAAACATATCTGGACCTAGATAAGATCAAAGGTTCAAATACCTAATCTCTTAACATATTCTTTCACTGCTTCTTTAATTCCTTTCCTTTTAATTGTTTCATTGTGATTTTTTTTTAACAAAAGTAAAGGGAGCAGTGTTTGTTGTTAATGTTTTTTGAGGTTGTGGTGTGACTCACGACTTTCACATATGGAAAATTCTTTTGCCAACTCATTGAGACTAGCCTTTTTTTTTTTTTTTTTTTTTTTAGAAAATTCATTGAGATTAGCCTAATCACCACTTCTATGTGAAATGCGTGGATACATTGCAATATTCGCACATTTACGGGATAAAAACAGAAAAGTAAAGATGTTACCAGATCACTGATTTAGTAAATGAAAATTTTAATAATGTAACTTGACTTTTATGTGCATTGCCTAAATAAGGTGGACACTGTTCTATGTTCATAATTACTGAACTCTAGGTTCATAATTATAGAATTTTATGTTCATAATTTTTGAACTTCATATTCACAATTATTGAACTCTATATTTACAATTACAGAGTTCTATGTTCATAATTACTAAATTCTATGCTCATAATTATAAAACTCTATATTCATAATTTTTGAACTTCATATTCACAATTATTGAACTCTATATATTCACAATTACAGAACTCTATGTTCATAATTATAGAACTCTATGTTCATAATTATTATAATTTTTTTTTTTGAAAGCTATGTTCATAATTATAGAACTCTATGTTCATAATTCTTGAACTCTATATTCATAATTTTTGAACTCTATATTCACAATTATGACATATTTGAAACCGTGTCCACCTTCCAAGGTGAACAGGTTTCACAACATAATTTGCCCCAAATCTAGCCATATACCCAAAATTCAACCCAATATGTATATATAAGATATGGATGGGATATAACCCATCCCAATAGCTTGGGCAATTGGTAAGCGAGTTACTAAGGTTATGTTTGGTTCACACATGGGAATCAGAATCAGAATGTGTATTAAATAGTTGGTAATAGTAATGGATTTTGGTAAAAATATTTAACATGTTTGGTAGTAGGGTGGAATGGGAATGGTTACTAATAATAGTGCTTGAGAATGAATAAGGGAATGAAATCCTTCTTTTATTTGGGTATGAGTTTTTCAATTGATAGGGGTATTTGAAACACATAGTAGTGTTCTAAAACCCTATCAACCAAACAATAATAATCACTTGAGTTAATTACCGAAATGGTCCCTTGACTATAGCGAAATTACTAATTTGGTCCTTGACTATTTTTTTGACCAATTAAGTCCCTCAACTTAAAAAATCTTAACCAATTTGGTCCTCCGTTTGTTTGACCGTTAGTCAACCATTAACTTGGGACCAAATTGGTAATTCGCTATAGTCAAGGGACCATTTTGGGTAAATAACTTTAAGGGTGGGTAATTCGATTTAGTTTTCTCGAACCAAACTGTACCAAACTAGTTAGATTCGGTAATATACCGAACAACCGAACGGTAATAGATTCTTGAGAACTTTTGATAACAAACCATAAAGAAATCAAATCAAACATTCACGAGAGATACCCGTGAGAATATGAGTTGAACGGCAGAGCAATCAGCAATGGAATTTGATTTAATTTTTATTTATTTATTTATTTTTATTATTATTATTATTATTATTATTATTATTATTATTATTATTATTATTATTATTATTATTATTATTATTATTATTATTATTATTATTATTATTATATTTCAAAAAAAAAAATCAAACGGTATTCGGTTCAGTTCAATTTTTTACCGAACAATTCGGATCGGATCGGATCGATTTTTTATCAAACCGTCCAGTATACAAGTATCCAATACCATTCAGTTGTTCGGTAAATTATCGAACCAATTGGTTCGGTACGGTTCGATTCGAGAAAACTAAACCCAAATGCCCACCTCTAAAGTTAATTACCAAAATGATCCCTTGACTATAGCAAAATTACCAATTTGGTCCCAAGTTAACGGTTGACTAACGGTCAAACAAACGGAGGACCAAATTGGTTAAAATTTTTAAAGTTGAGGGACTTAATTGGTTAAAAAAATAGTCAAGGACCAAATTGGTAATTTTACTATAGTCAAGGGAGCATTTTGGTAATTAACTCTAATCACTTTCATACTCATTCCTATGGGTAAAACCTATCAACCAAACACACCCTAAATTGATGTTTAGCTCTTATGTGGATGTGTTTTGTTAAAAAGTTTTAAATTAGATTTTCTCTAAGTAAGGATTTAATTAATTATATTGTACCGACATGATCAAACTGAATTTAAATTAATCTTGTTTTAGTGGATATATATGGTATGTTACAAAAAATGATAACTATAATTGAAAGATTCATATATTAAAATATATTAATTCCTAACTAAAATTTTAAATTCAAGGTGAGACTACAACCTTTATCATTTTATATATTTAAAATTAGACTTTCCCTTTGCTTGCTCCCAACGTAAGGGTTTGCTTTACCTTTGCTTGCTCCCAACGTTTTTTAACCGCTTCTTTATTGCTTAATAATAATAATAATAATAATAATAATAATAATAATAATAATAATTATTATTATTATTATTATTATTATTTTAAATAATAATAATAATAATAATAACAATAATAATAATTTAATAAAAGAAATAAAAAATAAAAAAAATACTAAAGTGAAACTAGTGAGTGTGAAAATGAAATTGAAAAACTAAGCAATATTGTCAGATAAAACTAAAATGTAAGTAGAATGATACTTACTTTATGGACCATATTACTACATGTACCGTGGTCCACAGTAAAATTTGCCTATTATTGTGGAAAAGAGTTACTTATAACTACTAGAGCTGTTAATGAACCGAACACAAACGAACAGAGGTTGTTCGTGTTCGTTTGTTAAGGTTTTTTGAGTGTTCGATTGTTAAGATTTTTAAAAATCATGTTCGTGTTCGTTTGTTAAGTGTTCATTAGTGTTTATTAACGTTCGCGAACACGTTCACGAATTAAACATGTTCACTAACATTAACGAACACCTTCACGAACATGTTTGTTAACAAGCACGTTCATGAACATTTTTTAATTGAAATTTTTATATTTAATAAAACTATTATACCTTTAAGGTGCTTCTAAATAGTTTAAATATATACTATTGAAAGTCAGGCGATTAAAGAAAAAAAAAGTTAATACATAATTTAGTCTTCTATTATAATGAGTTTTTTTTTTTTTTTTTTTTTTTTTTTTTTTTTTTAATTTAGTCATAAACAATTTTTTCTGTTTAATTAAGTCCTCAATTTTGATGGTTTTATCCAATTGAGTTCTCGGCTCTTAGAATCAAGGATTAGATCAATAAAAATCACTGTAATTGATAACTAAATTGGATAGAATCACTATAGTTGAAAACTAACTTAGGAAAGACTACTATAGTTAATATGGGATATGATCATATGAGATGAAGTAGAAGGGTAGGATTGTCAAGGACATTCTTGTAATTAGTTGAGGCAGGTTGTTATAGTCCCTTTCTTTAATCTCTCTTTATCACCTTCTATATATAGTCTGCATCCCTTTCCAATGCTCTCATTCTCACTCATCCCTTACTGATCCTCTCTGCAACTCTTCCAACAACCTCATCACTGCACCATCTATCTATCACACCTTTAATTTGCTTAGCTTAAACCTCTAATCTAAACTAATCTACTTCACAATGCTTGTCCGATCCATATCCTCCTCTCACTGTTTTTCTTTACAACCTCCGCAACCGAAACCAATACCTCAGCCGGCCACGCCATCCCCTTTCCCACCATTTCAACGTTAAATAATCCGTTTCTCGGGCACCCAGCGTCTCAATATTCGACATATGCTACGGCTTAAACGGGTTCGTTACGGTTTTGGTACCAACCGTATCGTTTTTTTTTATGGGTGACCTGATCCTGACCATTCCAGCTACGAACATTCTTATACCAGTTGATGAAAGGGGCACGTTTTGCTTTGCATTTGCTCCATCTCCAACCGGACTATCCATCATAAGCAAGAAGGCATCCAGATTTCTTTTGACAGCTCAAATGATTTTGTGAATTTTGGCCCCAATATTTGTTAACTTATTAAGCCCGATCCCTAAAAATAATAATTATTATGTGAATTTTGTTAGTCCAACTACGATATATATCATCCAGAGAATCAAGGCAAAATGCCTACAAGAGTTTTACTTTTACTTTTATTTTTTTTATTTTTTATTTTTCAATATGGAGGGGGAAACCCAGGCAACACAAGAGTCATAAACATGGCGCCAAGCTGGAATCTGAAGCACACATAATCTACTGGTGCTGATTCGGGCCAAAGTAGCAAGGGCGTCGGCTGGTTTGTTTTGTTCTCTTGGGAGCCAAGAAAGATTCCATTGACCAAACTTACATGCTGTGAGAATATTGTAGGCTGGCCTATGGGGAAGACAATTGCACAGAATACTTGCCAAACTGTCCTTGGAATCACTTTCCAAATGGACTCTGTCATGCTTTAGGCTAATCCCTCCACAACAACAAATTTACAAATCATTTACTATTCACACTACATCCTTACAATTTCAACTAATTTTCTAAAATGAACCTCAATTTCACATCACTTTAAAAAATTAATATCTTTCTCTCAATAAATATTATTTTCTCTTCTTTATATATTAATTTATATCAATATATAAATTACATTAAATACTAAAAATAATAAAAATGACCTCAAATAAAAAACGTAATTTTTAAAATGATTTAAAAATTTATTCGTACTATATATATAACCAAATGCAAGTTATACTAAAAAACTTTATTAAGTAAAAAAATAGATTATAAAACAAATTAAAAATAAAAAAATAATAATTTAAATTTTTAAAAATGTATTATGTAACAAATTTCAATACAATAATTTAAAAATAAATTAAATAATAATTAAACATTAAAATAAATTAGTTAATATATATATATATATATATATATATATATATATATATATATATATATATATATATATATATAAAAGAAATAACAAAACAAAAATAAAAACACAATAAAATTGACGTTTACAAAAAAAAAAAAAAAAAAAAAAATCAGCCAACAGCAAGCTTGCTAATTGGATTTTTTTTTTTTTTTTTTTTTTTTTTTTACTTTTACTTTTTTTTCTTTTTCTTTTTCTTTTTCTTTTCTAATGCGTCTCCCTTTTACTCTTTTTTCTTTTTCTTTTTCTTTTTCTTTTCTAATGCGTCTCCCTTTTACTCTTTTTTTCTCTTTTTTCTTTTTCTTTTTCTTTTCTAATGCGTCTCCCTTTTACCTTTTTTTTTTTTTTTTTTTTTTTTTTTTTTTTTTTTTTTTTTAACGTTTAGCCGATCTATCTTTTTACCAAAACAACCAAACTTGACCGCAACACAAGTCTAATCTAGAAAGTGAGTGGGTTATTTTTTTGCCAGTTGAAATATTGGTTATTGATTTTTTGGTTTTTGGTTTAGTGTTAGGGTTGATGGTTTAGTTGGGAATGTGGGTACCAAAAGATTGCCCTTTTATTATTAGTACTTGATATATAGATTATTGTAACATATGATGGATGATTAAGAGAATGAATTGAGTGATATTATATTTGTATTTCACTGTATTTTAAATTGCTTAATGATTAAGTCAATAACATGTAATGTTTTTTTGGGTAAAGTTTTGTGATGATTTACATTTTTTTCAAGTAATAAATTTAGATTTACATCTTTATCACTAATATATTTTTACTTGTATTAGAAAGAAAGCCAAGAATGCACCTTTTACTATTACTGGCTCTATTACATTGTAGTATCTGTTTTTTTCAACCTACTGAAACATAAAGAATCAATAACGCCTCCACTGAGGCTTGAATTCATAATCTTCCAAATGGAAGTTCAACCCGGGTACCATTAGACCACATAGTCCTAGTGCACCTTTTACTAGTTAAAGAGTAAAGTTTTATTATAACTAAAATTTATAGCAATTTCAAGTGAAATGGTGAGTTGGTTTTAATTTGTTAGGGTCTGGCACAAAAACAACCCTTCTCATTGTATTGCCTAACCTAATTTCAACACTTTTCTTTCTTCAATTTTTTTTCACAAATTCTCATTTCCATTTACATTATTCTTGATCATCGTATAAAATAATTATTTCGAATAAGCATATCATAGAATTGAAGTCGTTAGTCCTATTTAAATTTTACATGCATTTTGATTCTCAATATGTATCATTCTATCTTAAATTAAAGATAAAAATTCAAAATATATGTCAAATTTAAAATAAATTTAATAATTGTTGTGGCATGAGGACTAAAATAATCACTTTAGGAGATACTTAAGAATGACATTACCAACACTATGTAATTAATGGATTGATTTTACAAATTATTACTGATGATAGCTGATCGAGTTAGCCAATAGTTAATTGGTGATTGTATTAGCTAGTTTGACCAACTGATTGTATTAGCTGGTTATAAAAAAATAAAATAAAAAAAATGTTTGGTAAATTAGATGTTTACTATTAGCTTATTATATGTAAAATGGCCTTTAAAGGTATGTGTATATTATGTTATTTTAAGTTTAAATTTATTAGGATAGGAAGTATGAAATCTTAATTTTGATAAATGCTTCTAAAATTTGAGCCACGATTGAAATTTAGAAGTGTATTATTTTTATTTACATAAGTGTATTGCGGTGTATTTTTTATTTATTTCAATATTATTGAAAATGATTTTAAATATTTAAAATAGTGTATTAATGACAATTATTTAACATTTGTTTGTATGATATAGATATGTCAATAATGAAGGGGAGACTCAACCAGGTAAATTAGATAGTTGATTTGGTAACCACATAGTTCTAAATTTGACTCTTTGTAAGAGATGTCTATTAATTTAAAGATGCGTCCTACAGTTAAGGTCAGGACAACGAGTGGTATAACCAAAGAGAATTACTAAATTTCAAACTAGTTTTCAACTTTAACCCATTAATTTTTTAAATATTTTTAAGCACCCCATTAGTTTTCCATTATATTGACATCCCTACCATTGTATTCAACCTAACATTTTCATCAATTATTTTTAAGATGACTTTTTTTTTTAAGGGAAAATGGAGAAAAGACTTAAATTAAATAGCTAGGTATATAGAGAGACCACAAGTAGACTACACATACCTCACTTGCAAGGAACATATATATATATATATATATATATATATATATATATATATATATATATATATATATATATATATATATATATATATATATATATATATATGCGTGAATTGAAAGAAGATAAAGAAGATATGCACGTACTGATGATGAATTACAAAGCAAAAACAATTGCTATTTATACTAAGAGCAATTGGTTTTTTTTTTTTTTTTTTTAAAGGAAAAGCAATTGCTATTTATACTAAAAGAAAAGTGATAGAAATATGGCATGAAGCGGAGATAATCCAACGTAACACATGCTACGTGAGTACGTGGGAGGCAGCTGAGTGAAGACCCAACACATTCGGTGAAGAAGTGAAACATGCAGCATGCGACTATTATTTAATAATAATAAATATTATTAGTACTTGATAGATTATTATAACATATGGGATAGATGATTAAGAGAATGAATTGAGTGATATTATATTTGTATTTCACTGTACTTTAAATTTCTTAATGACTAAGTCAATAACATGTAAGATTGTAAGATTGTAAGTTCGAGCCTCAGTGGAGGCGTTATTGGTTCTTTGTGTTTCAGTAGGTTGAGAAAGTATATGAACAGATCAGATACTACAATGTAATAGAGCCAGTGACTCTAAAAAAAAAAAGTCAATAAGATGTAATTTTTTTTTTTTTGGGTAACGTTTTGTGATGATTTACATTTTCTTTTCAAGTAATAAATTTAGATTTACATCTTATCACTTATATTTTTTTACTTATATTAGAAAGAAAGCCAAGAATGCACATTTTACTAGTTAAAGAGTAAAATTTTATTATAACTAAAATTTATAGCAATTTTAAGTGAAATGGTGAGTTGATTTTAATGTGTTAGGGTCTGACACAAAAATAACCCTTCTCATTGCATTGCCTAACCTAATTTCAACACTTCTCTTTCTTCATTTTTCCACAATTTTTTTCACAGATTCTCATTCTCATTCACATTATTATATTCTTGATCATCCTATAAAATGATTATTTCGAATAAGCATATCATAGAATTGAAGTCGTTAGTCCAATTTTAAATTTAAATTTTACATGTATATGTATCATTCTATCTTAAATTAAAGATAAAAATTCAAAATATATGTAAAATTTAAAATAAATGTAATACTTGTTGTGACATGAGGACCAAAATAATCAATTTAGGAGATACTTAAGAATCACATTAACAACATTATGTAATTAACGGACTGATTTTACAAATTATTATTGATGATAGCGGATCGAGTTAGCTAATAGTTAATAGGTGATTGTATTAGCTGGTTATAAAAAAAAAAGTGTTTGGTAAATTAGATGTTTACTATTAGCTTATTAAATATAAAATGGCCTTTAAGGGTGTGGGTATATTATGTTATTTTAAGTTAAAATTTATTAGGATAGGAAGTATGAAATCTTAATTTTGATAAATTTAATGCTTCTAAAATTTGAGCCACCATTTAAATTTGGAAGTGTATTGTTTTTATTTACATAAGTGTATTACGGTGTATTTTTTTATTTATTGAAAATGATTTTATATTTAATTATTTCTCAGGGAGGCCAAGCAGATTGAAAGAGAAAAATAGCGGTGGAGTGCCATGCATGCAAATATATAAGCTTACTGATCCTCTCTGCAACGTACTCTTCCAACATCTCTTTAATTTGTGTATATATATACCAGATGAGACCACATTCTCATCACCATCTCTGCTTCACTTCTGATCTTCTTCTTCTTCTCAAACACTTCTGATCTTCTTCTTCTTTTCTCAAACACTGCTTCTTCTTCTTCTCCTTCTTCTTCTCAAACACTACTTCTTCTCAATTAAACACTTCTGATCTTCTTCTTCTTCTTCTTCAATTCGTGTCTCGATCAACTTCTCACCACACTTCTTCTTCTTCTTCAATTCTTCTCTCGATCAACTTCAATTCTCACCACAATGCTTCTCCTACTCCTCTCACTATTTTTCTTCACAAATACTTGTGCCAGCCAAACAACTATTTCTACCGGCCACGCGACCCCCTTTCTCACTCACGACAATTTGAACGTAAAAAAATCCATTTCTCAGGCTACCAAAATTCATCCTTTGCCAAAAACCCAGGAGCAATTTAAGGATGAAAGCCGCAATGAGAGCATTTGGAAGCTCAACCTCCTCCACAGAGATGAATTGCCATTTTCCAATTTTACTGACTTCGGCGGCAGATTTCAATCCCGAATGAAAAGGGACTCACACAGAGTCCCTGACCTCATACGGAGAACTAGCGGCACCGAGTATGAGGCGGAGGAGTTAGGGGCGGAGGTTGTTTCCGCTTGGAATCTCGGGATTATGGAATACGTAGTGAGGATTGGGGTGGGGACTCCGCCCCAATATCAGTTTCTGGTGATTGACACCGGGGGAGTAATATTATGTGGGTTCAGTGTCAACCCTGTAACAAATGCTACAGTCAATATTACCCCGTGTTCGACCCGACTCGCTCAGCTTCATTTGCCATCGTGCCGTGTAGCTCCACCATCTGCGACCTGATCCATTTGGGGTGCAACAGGGATCGGTGCATGTACTGGGTCAAATACATTGATGGGTCATACACCAATGGGACGATGGTGTTCGAGACTATCACGTTTGGGGGAACTATGGTCCGGGATATGGCTATCGGGTGCGGCCAGACCAACCAGGGGAGTTTCACCGGAATCTCCGGAACCAGGGGAGTTTCACCGGAATCTCCGGAACCAGGGGAGTTTCACCGGAATCTCTGGAACCAGGGGAGTTTCACCGGAATCTCCGGGTTGCTGGGTCTCGCCAGGGAATCCACCTTCATGGGTCAACTTTTCCCGCAAACGGGAGGAGTTTTCAGCTATTGCTTGGCGACCTGGGGCACCGACTCCTCCGGCTCACTGGAGTTCGGGCAAGAAGCCATACCCGTGGGCGCTGTGTGGGTACCCTTGCTCGGAAGCCTACGGGCACCCTCTGCCTACTATATTGGGCTCTCGGGTCTGGACGTGGGCGGCATAAAGCTCCCAATATCCGAAGACGTCTTCCGTTTAACCGAGCAGGGCTACGGGGGCGTGATCATGGACACCGGAACAACGGTGACAAGACTCCCCAAGGTGGCATACACGGCATTGCGTGACACATATATGATGCAAACCGCCACCCTTCCTCGGGCACCCGGCGTCTTCGTATTCGATACATGCTACAACCTGTACGGGCTCGGTACGGTTCAGGTACCCACTGTATCGTTTTTCCTTATTGGTGGCCCGGTCTGGACCATTTCAACTAAGAACGTTCTTATACCAGTTGATAACATGGGCACATTTTGCTTTGCATTTGCTCCATCCCCAACTGGACTATCCATCATAGGGAACATTCAGCAGGAAGGGATCCAAATATCTATTGATAGCTCCAACGGATTTGTGGGTTTTGGCCCCAATAATTGTTAGATTGATGAAGGGTGTTTTAGTTTTTCATATAGTTAGTTGTCTAATATATGTTGCAGATTATGAACTTCTTTTTCCCTCTGTAATGTCTCTTTAATTTTTTTATTATTATTTTATAACAGAACAACTCAACGTAAGTGAATCATATAATATTTCTTGCCCTCTACAATTCCTTTACTGGAAGCATAAAAGTAGTGTAAATTCCTTAAGCAGCTTACTTAGGTGTTCCCTCAATAGCAAAAACTCACATGGGTTGTTTCATGCTGCATTTCAACTTTACTGATCCAATCTCTTGTTTCAAAGATTCAATCTTTTCAAGCAAGTCCATGTTTTCCTTTCGTAATGATGCCAGTACCCTCCACCCCAGAAGACTCAAGTAGCTCCTTCTGGCAGTTGCTAACCTGTCCTGCCTCCTCATCAAATCTACTCCTCCAATATGCAGATTCATCCATTGCTTCTCTATTAGCAAGATCAAATTGTTTCCTGATTAGTTCGGTCTCGTCGGTATTCGATTGTCCAAAGACGCAAGTAGATAGCTAAGCCCATCACCATTGCCACCCCCAACCCAATCAGGACTACTGTCCGCTTGCTCCTCACCATCTTCTCCTTGTTCTTTCCGTGACCTCGCTGCAACATCATCAACTCGGGTCGGGTCATATCAGAGTGAAGGAGTGATCTGATGTGTTACAAATGTCTCTTTAATTTCTTCAATGAAGTATTCTCATCTCTGCTAGCCTAAATCTAAATCGACAAAGTATAAAAAATTGACATTTACTTGTAACTCAATTCTTTCACTTTTGATTTATTTTCCACCACTTGTTCTTAAATCTGAATGTAAAATAATTGTAGGATTGAGAATTTCCTTAATTTCGTTAAATTAAATTATTCAAGATTAAGCGTGGTGAATGCACTTTCACTCTCAACAAGTTTGTATGTGTTCTATAAAAACACTGATAAAAAAGCTATGATGAGTAGACATGCATGTTGAGTGGTCACTAAACCAGTCACTAAACCAGTCTAGCATACCATATGAAAGACTTGATGGCACAATGACTCTTGGTGCCAGAGAATTCAACACCAATCTCAACTCTATGGTTTCAGTTCAACCAAATCTTTTAGTTTCTTTTTAAAAATATATATAGAAATTTCTTAGTTTTTGTTTGTCCCCTTTCACATATGAATTTTTCTGTCCAATTCAAATATGTTGCTAAATTAAGGGCATTAAATATGATAAAGACGTTTCGTTTATAGCATAGTCGACAAACAAACAAAATTTTATTAGTGCAAGGTTATGTTCTGCATGTATCTGGAATGTGTAAGTTTTCATGTATGATCCAATGTTAGCATATGAGTGAAATTTCTTTCCTATGTAACTATTGTGTACTAGTATAGGTTGCAATTTTGTGGTATGTTAAAATTCTTAGTTGCCAGTTGCCAATTGCAGTGCAGAAAAGTTATACATTATTTTTCAAAAAGCACAAGCTGTACTAATACTCTATATTTAATGGTTTTATTTGCACTCTTCAATCGCTTTTTTGGATCACAGGGTGTTTTTTTTTTTTTTTTTTTTTTTTTTTTTTTTTTTTTTTTTTTTTTTTTTTTTTAACTATGTAATTTATTTCAACCAAAGATAAGTTCTACATGAGACCCAAAAGTGGTCTCCAACAAGAATGGCCATACTTGGCCTAAAACAACAAGGCTATTTCGGCCTAAGTCCTCAAAGGCCATCCGGCCAAAGTCCTCAAAAGGCCATCCGGCCAACAAATAAACCAAACTAGGGTGGTCCAAAAGTGACCACCCTTAACCAAGACAACCTAGCTACCTTATACAATGCAACAAAGCAAGGCCAAAAGGCTCAACATATCACAAGAGGCTCATCTAGAAAATTCTATCATGCATCAATAACCACTACAAGAATTAGAGCCGAAAAGGAAGCAACATCAAATTAGAGCCTATCACGGGAAAATGTCTGTATGAGGTGTGGCCGCCGTAGCTTCCATATCCAGAAGAGCCGGCTGAATCTGTTTTTTTTTTTTTTTGGATAAAGAATAGAGTTCTAGAAATTTGAAAATCATACCAATTTGCAAGGGAGAAAAAACTCAGAATAAGCTAAGCTATTTGGTAGGCATTTAACACAACTAAGCAATAAACAACCTAAACCAGATACATTGCTATGAATTGTTGAACCAGAAGAATAGTAACGGCTGCAAAAAAAAAAATAAAAAAAAAGGAATAACAAAGGAGCATAATTCCTAAAAGAGGCATACTATTGAGGTTCATTATATGTACTGTACGCACTGCACTCCATCTAAGAATATGAGGGGGGCACACAGCTGAGTCTATCAAATGCAGTCTTGCTAGCAGTTTAAAAAAAGTAGCAGGACACAAATGCATTATCACATGTAAAGGTTAGATTTTCCAATGCCTGTTCTCACCTCCTCAGTTCAGCCTCTTTAGCCTTCAACTCCTTCTCTTTCTTTTCTAAATCCTGTATTCAATGTTGACTTAAATTTGAGAGTCAAAGTGATAGACAACAAATCAATACAAGAATGATGAACATGGTTGTATGCATTCATCAGTTATGAAAGGTTTCACGAACCGCAGTGTGCTATCAAGTGGAATATCAATAGAGCCATTATAGAGGCATTGTTATAGAAACGAACTGGTTCAGGAGGAAGGGGAGAATGCCTTGACTTTGTGGCAGGGGGACGCTCCCAGTGCCATGTAAAATTCCCTACACCAATGTGGAACATGTTAGCAATAGAACACATTAAAAAACAATCACATAATTAATAAAAAAGACACTATTATGAGAACCAAAGTATTCCCTTATATCAATCCAGCACGCGGAGACTGGACTTTCATTGAAATGAAATTCTTCAACACCAAATGTTATCTCCACTTCCATGGGGGAAATGGAAATGAGTGGAGAACAACATGAGTTCCATAAAATATGTACATTATTGAAAAATTCACTACTATGATGAAATTTCAGAATTGATTCTCCAGAAGCATGGAAGTGCAATAACAATGCAGCGTCCGGAGGCACTCAAAAAAATATAACCCTAAAAAGGTTTTTGCACCTGAATTGTGATAAATAACACAAATACAAAGTTAAAGGAAACAGATTAAGGACACAGTTCAATATAAAAGGCAAAGAGGAAACAAAATGCTCAAAATAAAGGTATGTTTCCAGATTCCACTAACATCTCAATATTTCATTAGTTCATATTCTCCCTAGATTAGGATTAGGGTAAAATATAACTAACACATAGCTTAACACAAAATAGTGCAAGAAAAGTTTCATACTGTAAAAATTAACTACATAATCTAGAAAATATGTATTTAGTAACTTATTAACCTTCAACTTATCTTTTTTTCGAGATAACAGTAGAAAATTGCTTGTGCGAGAGGGCAATTCAATATGATTTAGTACTTTTTTCTACACAGAAATACACATGCAATAAATTAAAAATAAATCAGATTATATAAGATATACATTACATGATTTAAAAATTAAATTCTAAGGGTTAAGAAAATCTTCACTACAGCTAAAGATTTCATAGCATGTAGATAAATAAACAGATAAAGAGTTTAGTATAAAAAATAAATATAAAATTATTATTCGAATAACAGAAAGCAGATTATTACCAATTTAAAATGATTTAGTATATAAACAGGTTAACAAATTAGTAATAGCAAAATGATTTAGTAAATAAACCTCAGTACAATAACAGATTAAGTTGTCAATCAGCAAGTTGTCAAACAGAAACTAAATTTTTTTGCCTCCTGAACCAATTTGCTAAGCCACTTTGGGAAACATTCTACATGTTAGGAATAAAGTGTAATGGTTTTGATATGCCAAATTTGTATTTGTAGATCCCCCAATTTTATTTCTAGGTCTAGTAGAGTCTTAGACCATGATCGGGAAATTGTTTAATTATGAAAAGAGAAAAACAGAGGAAAATGGATGAAAATAGAAGAAGAAGATATAAAGCCGAAAATCAAGAATTTGTCTGGAGAAAATGACAAATTGAAGAAGAAGATGAATGATACAATATTCACGTCGCTACTACTCAAAGAAGATATCCCAGAAGAATTTTCGTGAAGAAAATTAATATTGGAAGAATGCATGAAATTGACTTGGAGATCAAGCATCTATGGAAAGAAAGAAGTACATCAAATGTGATTGGAGATTTAATCAAAAGCTGTACGGACGAAGTGGATGATGTTTGATATATTATCCGAAATGGCTCAAGTTCGAAACTCACCATCAACAATTTTACAAGGTAAAATTTAAGAAGTCAAATTAAATTAATCTGGGCGCTAGTTTAAGCTTTGGGCGCCAATTACAAGTGGAAATTGGGAAGCAATTTCACTAGCCAATGTAGAATTGAAATTGGGAGCCAATTGAGGTTGTAGTATGGGATGGGATGCAATTTCAAAGAGCCAATTGAGGTTGTAGTATGGGATGCAATTTCAAAGAGCCAATTGAGGTTGTAGTATGGGATGCATGGGATGCAATTTCAAAGTTGGGGACCGATTCAAAGAAGACATGGAGATCAAATTGAATTGGATGCAATTTCAAAGTTGGGGACCGATTCAAAGAAGACATGGGGATCAAATTGAATTGAGATGAAATTCAATGCCAGGAGAAGTCTGGGAGCCAATTTTAAAGTCAAAGTCAACAATTCAAATTGGGAAGCAATTGAAAGCACCAGGAGCAGTTGGGAGCCAATTGCAAGTCAAAGTCAATTGGGAGCCAATTGCAAGTCAAAGTCAATTGGGAGCCAATTGCAAGTCAAAGTCAATTTGGAGCCAATTGCAAGTCAAAGTCAATTGGGAGCCAATTACAATGGAGAAATTCAAATTGGGTGCCAATTACAAGCCAATTGAAATTGGGTGTCAATTACAAAGGAGAAATTCAAATTGGGTGGAAGTTCAAAGTCAATTGGGAGCCAATTACAATGGAGAAATTCAAATTGGGTGCCAATTACAAGCCAATTGAAATTGAGTGTCAATTACAAAGGAGAAATTCAAATTGGGTGGAAGTTCAAAGCCAGTTTGAAGTCTGAGAACACCCAGACGTGAGAATGAAGAAGATGAAGCAGAACTTACAGTGAAAAATATTCTCACAAGGAAAATACTAGTCTAACTAGTATGGGATTAAAATAAAGATTATTTTTGAATCCCAAAGATACAAGGACCACTTCAGAGCTAATCAGAGAAGCCATTCTACACCAAAACTGAGACCCAGATATTTCCACTCAACGTTAAAACAGAAGAATATCAGATGAAGTTTGGGAGCTCATTTACATGGAGATGAAACTCCATCAACGGCTAGCTTATCTTCTTCTGACATTTTTGCAGAAGATAAGATAAGATCTCTGACAAAAGATACAAGATTTCAAAAAATGAGAGCGTCTCTTTCCAACGGACAGATTCTCATTACCAGCTATAAAATGATGAAGATATGAAGACTAGCAGATAACGAACTCACGAACAAGAGAGCAGAAAATTCGAATCCATCAAAGGGATCGAATAGAGCAATTAAGCTTGAAAGAGCATAGAGCAAAAATCTCATTTGGTAAAGAGCATACCAAAAATCTTCAAGTTAGAAGTGAGAAAAGAAAAAGAACTCAGAGAGCTTCAAGAGAAAAATATTCTGAGAGTTCTTAAACAGAGCAAAGCAGAGCAAAATATCAAGTGCTTTACTTGATACATTAAAAAGGAGAAAACACTCAGAGCTGTCAAGAGAAATCATTCCAGAGTGTTTATCTTCATCAAAGAGACCTGCGCATCATTGAAGATCATCTACAGAGTCTCAGAAGTTGAAAGCAAGACAACACTTGTTTTGGAGCAAAACAAGAGAAGGGAGGAAAGTAGCACGGAGCTGTGAAATCCTGGATTGTCACACGGAGCTGTGAGATCCGAAGCAGCAGTGTCGGAGGCACTGGGCCTGATTGGTGTGGGCTTGGTGATCAAAGCACCATATCACGGGATACGTTTCTACCGGAGTGTGAAAGACGGGGGGAAAATAACGCGGAGTCGTGAAATCCTGGGATAGTAGCGCGGCGACGTAAAACCCGAAGCAGCAGTGTGGTGTCACTGGGCGTGATTAGTGTGGGCTTTGTGATCAAAGCACTAGATCACGGAAATTCATTGTATCTTGGAACCAAGGAGTGGTAGATATAGTGAATTGGCTCTTGAAGAAAAGAGCAAGTGGAGTAGGAGGATTACACCACCTCGCGAACCACTATAATTGTCTTGTGTTCTTTACTGCTTTCTTTACATACTGCTCTTTACATATTCGCTCTCACGAAGATATACTGCTCACACAATCTCACACACACTTTATGTTTATTTATTTCCGCTGTGCACCATACTCTAACAATCTAGTTAAGAGTTTTGATTTATCTCTGTCTTAGCAATTGTTGTGCTGTGCGAAAAAATTTGAAAGTCTATTCACACCCCCCCCCCCCCTCTAGACTTTCACCCTACCTCTTTTGGGACCAACACTACAAGATGCCTTTCTTTTCTAATTCCTTTGTGGACAAATATTTTTTTTAGAATGGGAACTGATATGTATTTTTTCTTTATCCATTCTTTCTTAACTATTTTGTTGTTGGGAATTTTACATTCACATTTTCAGATTTCAAAATGGACGAAATAACATTTCAAATGTTTATATTAGATATTCATGTTGAAGTTATAAGGAACCACACGCACATGAGTCAAGAGGAAGGTAAGATCATATAAATAAGGTATTGATTTTAGTTTCCTATGTGAGTATATAGCATACCAATAGTCTTTGACCATCAGAATAATCACCCGATAAAGCCAAAGAGACACAATCTACAGTAGTCCGAAAGCATATTTGAATTTTAAAGTTTGTATTTGTGAAAACAGTAGATTGAAGTTGGATAAATTATCAAAATATTTCAAAACTAATCTTAAATATATTTTTTGTTTTTTGTTTTTGTTTTTTTTTGTTTTTTTTTTTTTTTTTTTCGTTTTTGATTCAGGAGCTAATGACAAACTAATACAAGCAGCAAACTACTATGTTGTCTACATGGAGTAGTTTTAACAGAGCTGACATTGTTAGAGGATTGTGCAAACTTACCGAATGGTTTGGGGAGAGATAAGCGTCTGCGCAGATCGTCAATCCCAGCAGGAATTATGGAAGCCACACCCAGGTATGGGTTTGCACATCCATCAAACACCTTAACCTCAAAGTCGGAAAAGCCGTATGGAACTCCAGGTGAACTGGCAGTTCTTAGTGTAGCCTCTCGGTTTTGTCTCCCCCAATACTAGCCATAAGATGTCAGTCCAACTGCAATCTAAAGTGACAAGAAAAAGAAAAAAACAGTTTTAAGAAATCAAGATGTAGAAGCTCCAAAAACTATAAGCCTAATGCCCCAAATAAAGAACAAGCAGAAGGGGAAGGATTTTGATTGTGATGATAAGCTGCTAAGTGAATGCTCTGATAGGAATTTCTATGACAATGCAAATCGAAATTCTATAGTACAAAATTGATAAAAAAAAACATACGGTGGACATTAACTGCCACATGCTCAAATCATGAACACCATCAGATACCACTATGGTAATGTGTCAAATGTACACAAAAAGATGAGATTATTGAAATGAAACTGCAAAGGAATAGTTTATAACATAGGAAAGAAGGTACTTGAAGTGTTCAAGGGTTTTTCAATTGTTCTGGATTGAGGGGAATTGAGTTCAAACACTGCAGATTGCCAAAGTTGGGTGAGAAAGAAGGGTGAGGTAGATGGCATTCTAGGAGCTTATTCACGAAAGTTTCATAAATTTCTAGATGGACCTGGTCTAGGTCTAAGAAATTTAAGTATTGAAAGGTTAATCATAGGTATTTGCTAATAAAATCTCTCGACAACACATGGTTGCTACTTTTATTATCAGCTGAATCAATTATAGCTTCCAATGGATGTCAAGTAAGAACACAAAAGAAACAATTAAGAAACATAAAAAACAAATAACTTATCCGAGCATCATTCATTTATCAACCACATACACATTAAAAGCATGATTTACTGCAAAGAAAACAGATTAACAAAGAGGTTGGAATACCAATTGAAGGCTTTTATTTCACTAAAAGTGACAAAATACTAAATTATCTATAAACTGTTTTACTTAAGAAAATCACAAGTTTAAACAAACAATTGAAATTACCAATTGAAGGCTTTTATTCACTAAAAGTGGCAAAACACTAACAATTCAATGCACATGGTTATTATCTATAAACTGTTTTTCCTGTGCTCTTTTCTATTTTTTTTACAGGTAGTGGAGCACATGTATCTGGTGCATGGATCACATTTATTGAATGACAATGGAGTTCCTAATGTCAAACACATCAGACGATTTGGTGCTTGGATCACTAACAATGACAATGGAGTAACTAAGGATAGCAGAATAGGAAGGTCAATTTTTAAGTATCCTAATGATAGAGATTTTTAGGGTAGCAGGATATTATATACTTAGACAGATAATGGAACTGTAGTTTTGATTGTAAAATTTTTTATTTGAGAATTTGTTGTTACCCAAAGACCCTAAACTCTAAACTCATAGAAAATAAGAGTTTCACAAGTACATGAAAGACTAAAAGCACATGTAGAGTTGCAGTTCATCAAAGTGACAAAACAATATCAAGTAACAAAACAATAACAAGTATAGTACCTGCAAAGTCAACAAAGAAGGTCTGACCAGGTCTATCTCTGCCTAGCAGTAGACTTTCTTTCGAAATAGTCTTTGTAATACTTATTAGCTTATGCTTTAGCATCATAGAATGTGTATTTCAATTGTAATTTAACAACCCTTTGTAAATTGATAAGTATAGTTAAGTGAACAAACATGTTTTCTTATTGTACTATCATATAGCCAAGCATTGCAGAAATTGCAACCATCCCACATACATTATGAAGCAACAAATTATACAAGTATCTTACATATATAACCTATTAAAGTTCCAACATGCTCACATAGTATAATCTGTAGATCTTATATGAATCTACCTCTATAATAACCTAAGGCATCAGAAAGTTTATGTTTTCCATCAATTGCCTTCAAGTGTTTTTTTGATAAATAAAAGAGTTGGAAGTTTTCACTATGAAACACTATTGCAAAACACAGCTATACAAAGTTCTCTTACAAACCCAAATTTGACAACAAAATTGAATAAAAATGATTCACACTGATCTATTAAAAAAAATTAAATGGTATTTATAGTACCAAGATGGACACAAATTTGCATAACTATAAAAGAATAATAAACTAAGGCATCAGTGTGTTTCTGTTTTCATCATCTGCCTTCATGTTGAAAATATTTAGACTGTATACTAACAAAGTACAGTATGACCATCAAGCAATAAACAATGTGTTCAAGATCTCATGAGAAATTTATGCTTTTTGTATAAAACATGGGCATCAAAATTTCTTATTCATCATTTGCCATCCCCTAGGGGAAAAACATGTTAGTTTCTTTTGCAGAAATACCAGAAAAATAATTTAAAGTCAAAATCTGGGGGGAACATCATTATTAAAAGAAAAATAAAGTAGCATGCATTGTTCATTTCAATAAAAACTCTTATGTATGACTAAAAACTTCAATAACTTACCCGTAACCAAGATAGTTTTGTCTCTAGCATGAATCAAGCTGTGAGGAATTTGAGTTATCCAAACATGCTCCTGAAAAACAGTTTACTGTTAGAACAGATCTCTAACTAGGTCGCCGTGAATAATAGGGTATTAAGTTTATTCATACCAGATTTCATGAATATATAAACAGATAGCCAAAATTACAAATGAAAGAACTCATCTTAAGCAAATCGGCGATAAAATTAGCGATATCCCAACATGCACCAGAAAAACATAAACACAAAATGTCAAACCTCTAACTAGGTCAGTATTTATAGTAGTGCATTAAGCTTATTCCTTCACATAGTGGAACTCATTCTATTCTGCTCAAACAAATACAAACACTCTCTAAAAATTATTAGAGTAGGGCAATTCAAATCCATTCTCACATTGGAGTACTATAAAGAAACTTACAAAGTCCACCATTATAGGCAACAAAAGAAAACAAAATGCAACATATAAAGGTAAATTGCAAACTAATATTTTAGTACTTATATCAACTGTTGTAATCACCATAATAGCTTGCTTATGTATCATTCTCTTATCAGAATAAATCAGTATAATAGGTAAACTTGTTTTTTTAAGCAGACAGATAACAATAACATGCCATAAAAAAAAATAAAATCAAATTGCAGATTTATAATATACGAATGAAAAAATTCAGAGTAAAAAATTGTCTAGGTATTTTCATTATCTAGGTTTTGATAGTATGTTAACGTATTTTCATTATTGTAGGTAATAAAAAAAAATCAAAATGAACAAATCCACCCTTAACTTTTCGTAAAGTCAATGTCTGCCATTCGGATGCGTTGTTAGTTGAACTTAGCAGTTCAAAAACCCAGATTTGTACTCACATCTCACCCTGTACATACAGTATAGAAGAAATTAAGGCCTATATCAAATGAAAAAGCCCTACCAACACTTAGCTTTTCGCAGTTCTGGCAGACTTCAATCCGTAGGTATTCTTAGGTGACCTTCGTAGGGAAAAAAAAATCAGATATGTACTCAGATCTTACATGCACTGGATTGGTCTTCACTACACATACAGTATACAAAAATACATTAGCTTTTCGTAGAAATCTTAGAAATTAAACTCAACAACGGTAGGAAATCGTAAAAACCCAAATCAAAATGGAAGAATCCACACTTAGCTTTTCGTAGATATCCCATAAATGTGTCGGAGAAGAAGCAAACGAAAATGTAGAACGGAAAGGATGGAGGAGCGTGGTTTCTAGAACCACGCACGCCGTCCATCTCATTTCAGTAACACTGAGATGTATAATATTACTCTGTATTATATATATACTAGTTTTTTGAGAGATAATGCCCAATGTTATTTTTTAATAACTACTTTAAATTATATCAAGACAATATTATATTGAAATTATTCATGCATTGATAATTGAATATTGAATTTGTGTATTTTAATAGGTAATTTTAAGTTTACAAATGCAAGATAATATAGTCAAGATTGATTCTAATTGTCAATACAATAATTGTATAGGTATTATTGAAACCAAATACGGGACATAAGGGAGAGCAAATAAAAAGTAGGGCATAAAATATTCAATATATACTAATATTGAAGAGCTAACTGCTGATTGCCAAATAAAGACATTGCGCTATAGTTTTTCACTTCAATTTGTTGTGTGATTTGGATACTCTTTTTTTTTTTTTTTTTTGTAAATAAATCTCCCAAGTAGTTAATATGATTGGCTTAATTATATTTTTTATTTTTAAACAATTATTATTATTATTATTATTATTATTATTATTATTATTATTATTATTATTATTATTATTATTATTATTATTAAATATATGTATACCCTTAGGTCATTTTACATGTTAATCTAAACAGCTAATTTTTCCAAATATCTTTTTATCAACCGTTGATATAATTCGCTGTTCAAATCCGCTAACTGTTGATTGTCAAACAAGGACATTGCGAGGTAGTTCTCACTTCAATTTGTTGTGTGATTTGAATACTATCTTTGTCAACAAATTCCTCAAATTGTTAATATAATTAACTTTATTAATTATATTTTTAAAATATTTTCATGGTATTAATAAAGTACTTAGTAAATAAATATATAAAATTATTTTTTATTTCAACTTTGATATTTAATTAAAAAATAGTGCACAAAAAAGATAATAGACAATGTAGTGAATATAATCAGTTGATGAATTTGAATGTAAAGAATTTTTACATTGGAGAAATATAAAGACAATATAACTAATCAAATTATTTCTCTTAATTAATTTATTGATAAGGAATAAATATTTTTAATAAAGACATTGTATGGACAATGTAGCGAATATAATCAATTGATGAATTTGAATGTAAAGAATTTTTATATTGGAGAAAAATAAAGAAAATAGAATTAATGAAATTATTTCTCTTATTTAATTTTTGATAATGAATATTTTTTTTGAATAAAGACATTGTAGACACATAATTCAAAATTAAAGAAATGCATATGTATTATTTTTTGTTGTAACTACTAAATTATTATTATTTTTTTTAATTTAGTAAGAGTAAAATAGAGTACTAATTATGACAATTTTGATTGGGATGAGGTTCGAACGTAAGACCTTTCTTATTGAAATCAATTAGTAAGTTAACGGTGAACTAACAGAAATTAACGGAGAAGATAATATTTAACGGAAAAGTTAACGGATAATCATATAATTAAGGATAAATTAGTAAATCTCAAGAAAAAATTAAAATCTGATCAAATCTGAGCAATTCATTTGCTTAAAAAATTTGACCGCCATTTTTTGTACCCATTATGGGCCTAACTCTCTTGAGCTCTTATTAGTATAGTAGATATTTAGAGATTTAATCCTATTTATAAATGTAGACATATATATATTATATGTAAATAGATAGTATATATAAATATATATTTGAGTGGGTTGATCAAACCCAACTTCGAAAGTATTCTATATATTATTATTATTTTCTTTTATATATATATATATATATATATATATATAAAATTGTTATAACTGATTTTTAATATTATTGCATTTGTAAAAGTAGATTGCGATGCACGGAGAGGTTGTATTACAATGGACATTACACAATGAAACACAACAACAATTGACGTCCAACCAATATGGCATTGTCCAAATATAATTCCAGATTTTGATGAGATTGTTGAACCACAACAAATAAACATCGATCCAAACAATGGTAAGTTTAAATATTACATATAAAAAAATAAGATTGTCGCCGGCCGCCGGTAACGTGCTCGCTGGTGCCCACCACTACATAACGATGAAGTTGACGTCCAAAAATTTCCTTTTTTGGCGGATGCAACTCCTTCCATTCCTCCGAGGTCAGGAGCTCACCGGTTTCGTCGATGGGAGTTACCCCTGCCCGCCGGAAATGATCGTTGCCGATCAGTCTTCCGGTACCACCGCTGCGACGCCGGCCATGATGGTTCCAAATCCCGCGTTCCGCGCGTGGGTGAAGCAGGATCAAACCATCGTCTCCCTCCTCATCTCAGCGATGTCGGACGAGGTGTTGCACCTCGCTCTCGGACGGCACACCTCCGCCGACATCTGGGCCTCCGTCTCGTCGGCGCTCGGATCTACCAGCGAAGCCCGTTGCATCAACCTTCTCGGGCAGTTCCAGCACCTCCGGCAAGGGAACGCCACGATTGCCGATTACATCGCACGAGCCGGCGTGCTCGTCGAGTCCCTCATCCAGGCCGGCCGGCCATTATCGCTCATGGAGCAGATGTTGTATGTCATCTGTGGGCTTTGACCGGAGCTGAAGTCGCTGGCCACCAGCCTTACGGCGACCGGTGCACAGGTGACCTTGTCTGCCCTATCCGATTTCCTCCAAACCCATGATTTCATCCTTGTGGATGACTACCCATCGGTGGACGGGGCGGCTTCTCACACGGCGTTGTATGCGGGAACCGGCAGAGGTTCGCACGGCGGAGGTGGGCGCCAGTCCGCGAACCAGCAGCACCGTGTCGGTGGAAATGGCCGCGGCAATCGCGGCGGGAACCGACAGCATCGCGGCGGACGTGGAGGCCGTGGTGGACCGCGCTGCCAGATTTGCCGGTCACACGGCCACTCCGCCGTATATTGCTACAAGCGCTACAATACGCAACCGCCGGCTCAGGCGCATGTAGCAATCTCCGGTGAAGCCCCGCAGGTTCCGCAACCCCATCCGGCGGACAATTGGTATCCCGACACCGGTGCGACGGCCCACGCTACTCCGGACGCTGCTATGATGGGGCAGTCGGATGAGTATACAGGTTCAGATGTTTTGCGGGTGGGCAATGGCGCAGGTTTGGAAATTACACGAATCGGTCAAGCATCAATCCCATCCGAGTCAAAATGTTTAAATTTAAACAATATATTACATGTTCCTAATCTTTCTGTCCCGCTGTTATCTGTCCATAAATTTACTTCAGATAACAATGTTTTTTTCGAATTTCACAATAATTTTTTTGTTGTGAAGGACTCCACAACCCGGGCGGTTCTGCTTAGAGGTTCCACATCGGGCGGATTATACAAGCTCCCGGTGTCTCGGTCCAGTTTCGCGTTTGTCAGTTCCCGGGCCACTCCCAACATATGGCATCAAAGGCCTGGTCATCCGCATAAGCAAGCTTTAAATAAAGCCTTATAAAGCTGTCCGGTGTCGTCCAATAAAAATGTATCAATCGAGTCATGCGTTGCTTGTCACCTTGGAAAGTCATCCCGCTTTAAATTAGACAGTGTACCACGGGCTAGTCAAAATGTATTAGATTTAGTCTATACTGATATTTGGGGTCCTTCACCCGTAGTATCAGTTTGTGGTTATCGTTACTTCTGTTTATTTGTAGATGACTATTCTGGTTTTTGCTGGTTTTATCCGCTTCGGGTAAAATCTGATTTATATAAAGTATTCGATGTGTTTCGTGTTCTGGTAGAGCGACAATTTTCGCGCTCTATCAAATCCATACAGTCCGATCTAGGGGGTGAGTACCGTAAGTTACACAATACACTCCAAAGTCTGGGTATTAATCATCATCAATCATGCGCTTATACGCATGAACAAAACGGTAGAGTAGAGCGGCGTAATAGACACGTTGTCGAAACGGGCCTAGCTCTACTCGCTGGTGGCAAAGTACCCCATGAATACTGGGACTATGCTTTTGAAACCGCCACCTGCCTAAAATATGAAAGCCCATACACAAAATTGTTCAAAGTCAATCCCCCATACACTTTTCATCGAGTATTCGGGTGTCGCTGTTACCCACATCTGCGCCCTTATAATCGGCATAAGATTGAGTACAGGACTACCCCATGTGTCTTCCTAGGTTACCCGGTTTCGTTTAGGGGATATTGATGTGTAGACTTGACTAGTGGAAAAGTCTATATCTGCCGTCATGTTCGCTTTGACGAAACTATCTTTCCCTTTGATACAGGGTGCTCTCAACAGGTGTCTACACCACCGGCACTACCGTGGGCTATTGTTCCAGTGGCTCAGCCCCCCGCTACCTCAGAAGCAGTGTTTTTAGGTACTAATCTGATCTCTTGGCTCTCGAAGAAGCAACGCACTGTTGCACGGTCTTCTACTAAAGCAGAATACAAAGCTCTGGCTGACGTCTCTGCCGAGGTCACTTGGGTAGTCTCTTTGTTACGCGAGCTTGGGTTATACTCTGGGGGTTCCAGCAACATTGTGCTGTGATAATCTTGGGGCCACCTATCTCTGTGCTAATCCCGTTTTTCACGCCAGGACCAAGCATGTGGAAATTGACTACCATTTTGTACGTGACAAGGTTGCTTCTGGGGAGTTTGTTGTGAATTATGTTTTGACCACTGATCAGCTAGCCGACATCTTCACCAAACCGTTGTCTACACCGAGATTTACAGCATTACGCGACAAGCTCAATGTTGTGTCTACCACACCTTGTGCTTGAGGGGGTGTGTTAGTATTATTCATATTATTATTATTGTTATAGCTTTATTATATAGTTATATAATATGTGGTCTACAGTGTATCTAGACTATTAGTCAGGAGTTGTTAGAAGATAGTTATTAAGATAACTTGTAATCCGATTGTTTGGTTAATGATCAATTATTCTCTCTAATCGCTGATCCAACCTATGTTTGCCAGCACTATGACTCAATTTTTTGGTAAAACGAAAGGTCAACCAATTCAAAATCAAATACTTCCCCAAAGTATACGAGCTACTGTGTAAATGGAAAGATAAAGTTATCGTTAATGATAAAGCCTCC